CGGTTTAGGCCATTCTCCTGCTCACCTCCCGGAGTTTGGACTACAAGGCGCTTCCGCTAGCTCGCCTGGGCTAATTTTTTTTTGTGCATTTTGTAGAGGACGGGTTTCACCGTTAGCAGGGATGGCCGATCTCCTGTTTATGTTGTCCGCCTCTCCAAAGTGCTGGGAGATATACAGGCGGAGGCACTGCGCCCGCGATCATATATTGTAATTTTGTTTTATTGTATGTTCTGTTAAAAAGGACAATGTTGGTAGACTAGGATTATCTGACAATCAAATACTCATCTTGCAGATTAAGGTGGTCATGCACGCCTCTTATGTTCTGTCAAAGCTACTTGTTCCAGGGAGGGTCTGTAAATCAAATCTGTCACTGAGCTGCATTAAGACTTTGTTGCACCTGTGGTTAAATTTAAGACAACACTGCCTACAGCTCCATTGAGGGAGTGATAAAGACCTTCTCTTCCACAGGACTTGGGATCTCAGCACTTGAAGGATTCTAGAGATATATTTGTGCTTTACAACTGAGCCATCAGGTTTCTGGACTGTGGGAGATTTCCCTTGTTTTGCACCAAAGTCAACAGCATTTTTGGATCTCTGGGGAGCTTTCTTCACTCTCCAGTCTCAACTCTGGTTTTCCGTTTCCCTGAAGATCTCTCTTCATTCTGCAGCCCTTACTCACTTCTATCGTAGGTTGCTCCTCCTCCTGCCACTCACCTGGTGGTCTCTTCTTTCCTTTTTGCAATCATGTTCGTTTAGGTTTCTTTGCATCCTCAACATCCCAGTGGGTTTTAAAAAGCTATGAAGAGTGTTCAGTATATCCGGCTCATTTTGGTTGTTGGGGTGAAAACTTCAACAGTCTCTTATAGCTTCCCCATGCTAACTTGAAGTGAAGGTCTTCCCCTGTGTCTTTTTGTCCTGTCACTTATAAAGAGATTTATTTTTAACCCAGTTATTTCAGTAATTGCCTTAAAATGTTGATGATTTGATTGTTTTCCCTTTATTTTTTCTTAAATCAGTAAAGTAGAATGAGAAAGGACTTTGTTGATTACATATTTTAGGAGTGGGTAGTGGAGAAATCATTTTTCATTGCTTTTCTGCAGTAAATCCACAAAGGGATATACTCAAGAATATACAAAGGAATATACAATTACTCGAATGTATTATAATTCAAGTAATTATAATTATGTAGTCACAGCCTTATAAAGTATAGTGTGAAATAAATGCCACTTGTGTCAAAATGGTTTATAGGACAATAAAAATAATGACAGAAAAATAGGAAATAATTTAAATGTAAGAATAGTTTTAAGACCTGTTTATTTTGGGGGGAATGAGTTTAGTTAAGGGTTATTTGGTATTTATTTGTCTGTCATGGCTTCTGTGGTACATAATCTCACCTATTTCTTTGAAAAACGAGTTTTTATCATGCCGTTTCTAACGTGTCAGTTTTATCTAAGCAATCAATTTATATTACCGTTTTTCTTGTATTAAATGTAGTGTTTAGACAAATGTCATACGAAGTCACACTGTAGCTCCCTTAGATAAACCTAGAAAGTAGATAAATTTCTGATTTTTCTTACCTTTGCTGAAAAACGTATTTTCAGGTTCCAAAACATTTCTGAAAAGCTGCACATGGAATGCAAAGCAGAAATGGTGACGCCTCTGGTGACTAATCCTGGACACGTGTGCATCACGGACACAAACCTCTATTTTCAGCCTCTCAACGGCTACCCGGTGCGTGTACCTCAGGGTCAGGTGGGGAGCTGCCCATATTTAAGCTGTTTCCAGACCATGGCCTCACAATACCTGTGACCTCACTTTTTGATGAGGATCAAAAGTCACGTCCCCGCCCACCCCCTTCACAGGCAGCATCTGTGTATTTTACAAACACTGTGTGTAATTGTGGTGTGGAGTCTCTGAGGTTTGAGTTCCTCTGATCTGTTTTCAGTCATGTCAGGGGCACTTGCTCTCAGGGTGGTGAAAAGAAACCCTGCTCCTCCTGATTTTAGTAAAAGGTCGCTAGAGATTTAGACCTTTCTTCAAGGAGGCATTTCTGAGAGACCAGTGAAATGTGCTATGGTTAATAAGAAATGGATTTTGAAATATATTTGCTTATATGAACACAGATGTTGGTATTTCTTGCTTCTACTTAATGATGAACAACCTCAGTAGATCTGAATTTTTCCTGAAGGAGCACTGTGAGGAGGTCCTCCCGGCTAGTGCAGAGGTGTGTCTGGAGATCCGGCCGTCTGACAGTTGTGGGCTCCTGCTAGGGTGTTGGAAACAATCTTCTCTTTCACAATGACACCAGGCTTACAAGTCCGGAAAGTAAAGATGAACTTAGATTTCCATGTGGAAACTTGTAAAGATTTGTTGCTTATCTAGATCTGGCCACTTTTTAGCAGGATCCATTAAAAGAACAGAAATCCTAACACACCCTGGTAGTGCTGTGGGGCCATTTGGCAGGGCCCAGGAATCAGGAGTGTTTTCTGCCAGAGAAAGTTCCACCTTGGAGGTTGTCCAGGCTGGTCATTACAGGGCACTAAAGCATCTCAAACTCTCCTGAGTGAAAGTTTATGCTATAGCGATTCTGTCCACTAGGTGGTGGGGCTCACTTTCCTAGTTCTCCAGCAGACCCTGCATGCTGCTGGCACAGCATTCTCGGGGAGTGTAATAAATTGGCTTGGCTGCTCCTATTGCTTGGGTCAGAAATTTTGAAAAAAAAAATGTCTGTGTACCCTAGCTTCACAATCCATGATATGGGCCTTTACCCCTTCCCAATACTGGCCAGGATCCTTGACCAGTCATTTACAAGACTTGACTCTGGGCCTCCAGGGCAGTTTCCACTATTGGACAGACTGACTTCTGTGCACCCATCATCCCTCCCACTTGGGAGGAGGACCACGGAAGCATAGCCATTAGCCAATCTCTGCCTTATTAAACCTCCTTTCTCTCTTGCTAATGTTTTAAAATTATAGAAAAGCAAGACAATTTTCTTCTTCATTAACAAAGAAAAAATTTAGAGGCCTTGCTTTATACTTTAGTAATTTGTGAGCCTTAATACACTGTAATTTTTAGTGAGATAAAAGACAGGATTCTTTAAAAAAAGATGTGTGTCAGTTCTAAGCAAACTATTTGTAAAAAAAAAGATAGCAAGATTCCTGAGAGGTTATTTATGCCAGTTCTTTATATTTCTTATCATCCCACAATCTAATCTAAAAGATATCACCCCACCCAAACTAACCTGAAAGATCCCTGAAAGATAGGTGATTGCATTCTCATCTGGCGGGTGCCACGTGGCGGGGAGGAAGACTTGCCCAAGGTCATAAAGCTAGTGAAAGATGACAGAGGAGAATGGGAAACGAGATATCACCTTGTTCCAAGATTTCCTTTTCCAGTGGTTCATTAGGAAGGCGAGATTTGTTGATTTTTTTCCCCCTTTCTGATACTACGGAACAACTTCTAATTGTGTCAGAACATTAATGTTTGAGATTGTCTTTCTACTTTTAAAGAAACCTGTGGTCCAAATAACACTCCAAGATGTCCGGCGCATCTACAAAAGGAGGCACGGCCTCATGCCTCTGGTGAGTCCTTGGGAGGCTGTGCTGGGGGATGATTGCCATACCTACAGTTTAGCAAGCAGTTTATTGACAGTAAACACCTATGGGATGTCTGAAAGTACAAGTACATTGCCTTGTAAGAACTTAGACTCTGATTTTGCTGTTCTTTCTTTTGGAGAAGCTAGAAATTCATAAAGGAATAAGTCCTTCATGGAGAGAAGAGGTTCTATTATGAAATATTTTTGGCTCCAAGAGCAAGAGGGCTAGTGTGCCCTTGAGTTTCTCACTCCAGCATTCTCAGTTTCTGGGCTCAGGCTAGAATGGTCTGTGTAAAACCAGCCCTGTGCTGTACTTGCCTCCAGCATTCATAGCAGCTAGGTCTCAAAGCAAAATTTGGAAGATATTACAAAATTACTTCTTTAGTGGAACTAGTATAGTCACAGTTAACTTACATTAATTCAGCCTTTGGGCTTGCTGAGAGAGAGAAATGGACAAAATAATCGTTTAAATCATATAGGCAGTTCTTTCCACCATTCCCCGAATAAGTGTATTTCTATACTTAGGTGTTTCTAACACGTCTTACTTTAGTAACCAATCCCTACAGAAGGTATGATTCCAAGGTGTTTTAATTTGACACCAATAGAAATTCATTTTTTCTCCTTTGAAGATTAACCAGTAACTTGGTGACATTACAAAAGCATTGTGAAATTTTAACTCTTATTTTTGTGCCTTTAATTTGTGAAATTCTACTGTTTTGCTGCCTGTTTTACTTAAAAGGCCATTCCTCCATTTCCAGCACTAATAGTGGATCAGGGAAACAGATACTATTAAAAATCTCCTCCTTTGGGTATAGAGCTGCAGTCAGAAAAAGAGAAGAAATTAACATTGATTAAGTGCTTTCTATGTACTAGGCAATTTATGTATAATGTTTCATTTATTTGCCATTGTTAAGTCTTATGAAGTAGATAGTTGGAGACTCCAGGGGTTAACTTCCTAAGCTCCCGGCGAGTACATGGTGAAAGCCTGTATTTGAACCAAGGGCAACTCTGGGCTTTCATCCTGGCTTTGTCTGTTCCTTTGCTAGCTCAGCCTTACCAATACTATTGTCACAAAGCTCATAGGTTTTTATAAGATAATAATAATGTATTAATTGAATGGGTTATTCAATTATCAATTTGTTAGGTATGCATAATTTTTATTTCTTAGCTGGGCATGGTGCACCTGTAGCCTAGCTACTCAAGAGGCTGAGGTGGGAGTATCAGTTGAGCCAGGGAGTTTGAGGCTGCAATGAGCCATGATCACACCATTGCGCTCCAGCCTGGGCAACAGAGCAGGACCTGGTCTCAAAAATATATATATGTTATTTAACTTATGAAAGAAAACTAAACATTTATGTTTGAAGAAGAGATGTGAAGACATGGATCGGCGATTTTTGAATTTCAAAATAATAAGTTCACAAAAGCTATTATTAATGAAAATATTCAACACCCAAGGTGATTTACAAAGTTTAGCTGAGATACTATCTTGTTCTCAGAACATTTATAAACACAACATATATATATATACGCAACCATATATGTGTATATATGTCACTGAGTTAAATTTATAGATTGAAAATAGGAATATAAGATATAAAAATAAACACAAATGTTTAACTGAATGTTTTTGTAATTATATACTTATATTGGGATTGCAAGAGGAATACAATGCTATTTATTTTATTCTTTTCTTTTTGAATTTATAGGGCTTGGAAGTATTTTGCACAGAAGACGATCTGTGTTCCGACATCTACCTAAAGTTCTATGAACCTCAAGATAGAGATGATCTCTATTTTTACATTGCCACATACCTAGGTTTGGCACTCACCCTTCATTGTTTCTTTTTTTTTTTTTTTTGAGACTGAGTCTCGCTCTGTCACCCAGGCTGGAGTGCAATGGTGCGATCTCGGCTCACAGCAAACTTTGTCTCCTGGGTTCAAGTGATCTCGTGCAGCCTCCTGAGTAGCTGGGACTACAGGTGCCTGCCCCCACGCCAGGCTAATTTTTTTTGTATTTTTAGTAGAGACAGGGTTTCTGTTCATAAGAAGGTAGTTCAACTCCTAAGGATCTGGGATAGGAAATAAGAGAAGAAGAATGCTATTTCTAGAATCGTCTGTTTGTGGTTCTAATTTCTTCTCATCAGTAACTATAATTGCCAAAGTAATGTTTTTAAAATTCTGGGAAATATAAATTCACTTTGGTAATAGTTCATTCTGAATGTATGTTTTAAAAACTCTAGATAAATATATTTAAATACTCTTATATTCTAACGTCCTCCACATTGAATGGATTTTGAAGAATCCACTCAAATATTTTTATGTTCAATCAGGTCCTATATTAGTTTATGAGAACCAAGACTCAGTTTTGTACTGCGAGGCAGTGAGTTATTCATACGTTTGTGATCATTGATTGTGGTCAGAACCACAAAGCTGAAAGACTGCAAAAGGAACATGTGAACCTTCTATGCTTAATATGCTGACTTTGGAGTGGAATTTGCTTTTAATTAATGGTATTTCCTCAGTTTTTCATGAAAAATGTGATTTTTCCCACCTTTGCCAGAGAAAATACTTACATTATGATGTTCAAGCCCAAAGTTTTTTTTATTACATTGCAAGGCTAAATTAAATTATTCTACTTTACAAAGTTGCTAGATAACTGGAATGGAATTATCTTTAAAAATGGATTTTGGGGCTAGGCATGGTGGCTCATGACTGTAATCCCAGCACTTTGGAGGCTGAGGAGGGAGAATCTCTTGAGCCCAGGAGTTCGAGACAGCCTGGGCAACATGGCTTGACCTCATCTCTACAAAAAAAATTAAAAATTAGCTGGGCCTGGTGACGTGTGCCTGTAGTCCCAGCTACTCGAGAGGCTGAAGTGGGAGGATTCCTTGAGCCTGGGAGGTCAAAGCTGCAGTGAACAGTGATCACACCCCTGTTATTCAGCCTGGGTGACAGTGAGACCCTGTCAAAAAAAAAAAAAAAAAAGGATAATAGGATTTTATTAATATCATCTTAATATGTTTGTTATTTTAGTGTACCACAAAACCATTTATGAAGTTTGTAGTAAAGTATATCTTCCCTTAGAAATGAGATTTTCCTTCAAGGAGGAATAGTTGACTTTCAGTAGGGAACATATTTTATTTTAAAGTAGGTTTATATATCGCTAGTATTTTGTTCATACATTAAGCTATTCAAGGTAACTTTATGTATAAGTATAGCTTTGATACAAGTTTAATCTTCTGTCTCGTGATCTAAGTTTTTAAATTTTGTGTTTTTTTAAACTATAACAAGATTACAATAAAAAGCTCAACTTTCATGGTGAGTCCTAAAATCTCAAGCCAAAAACTTTGCCATGATCTAAAATATCCATCTTCTAAGAAGCTGTCAGTTCTCACTGAGTTTATTCCTAAGATTGCTGAGAGGTTTCAAAAGTAGAAAATGAGGGGGAAGTGTGTTTTGATTTTTGAAACCTTTCCTAGTAGCTGATTAGAGAAGAGACTTGGTAAAAGTAAATGAGAATAAATATTAAGAGTTAAGATGCTTAATGCATCAGGAAAGCTTGAAAGAAGAATTTTCTGAACCAAATGAAAAATCTACTTGTAGGACAATTAATTCATTTTACACTCTAAAAGGGAAATTCTCATTGCTGCATTTACCTAAGATCTCATTTTTCGTGAGGTGTTTTGGGGGACAGGTCTGGTTCTTTTAGTTTGAGAATTGGTCCTCCTGCCAAATGGCTGTTTTCTTCTTTAACAATTTCTTTTCTTTTCCTTACTCTTCACATGCATAAATAATATATAGTCATTGACAAATTAACAGTAGTACATCTCTTCCAGGCCTAAAAGAAAACTAAATGATTGCTTTAATTTCGTAAATAATAAAAGAAATAAGCTCCCAGATGACCATGGATTTTTAAATGCATGGAGATATAGCACATTTGGAGGGATTCTTTGTTGCTGTATAAACATTGCCTATTAACATGTAAATTTATATATTTGCTCTACACTTTTGTATTTGTTTAGGTTATATCATATTGTGGAGGGTAGGGTAATAGCTCAGTGTATTTAATAATTTCCCCTCCTTGATCTTGGAACTATTTATACATAGCTGAACAAATACTTTATGAAAACAAGTCAGCAGCCTACTTTTCTCTTTCTTACAATGTATTTTTCAAGAATGCACAGGAAGGGTCTACACGTTAAGCCTCTAGCTTTTGCATACTAAGTTTGCGAAGTTAAGTGGCAGACCTCGTGGGTCCTCTTCCCCCAGAGCACCATGTGGCGGAGCACACTGCTGAGAGCTACATGCTGCAGTGGCAGCGTGGACACCTTTCCAACTATCAGTACCTCCTTCACCTCAACAACCTGGCCGACCGCAGCTGCAACGACCTCTCCCAGTACCCTGTGTTTCCATGGATAATACACGATTATTCCAGCTCAGAACTAGGTAACTGCTACACATGGAATTCTGGCCAAGTTGAGTGGTGAAGTGGTCATCTGTATTGTTTTTAAAGGAGAGAATAAATTCTATTTTATAATCGTGATGTGACATGTGAACAAATTACAACACATTTCAGTTGTATTGCTAAGGACTGCCAATTTCCATTCCAAGGTACTATATGAGTGTTCTATAAGTGTTTCATGTATGTTTTTTCCACCATACTTCTTGAAGGACACACAGAGAAAAAAACAGGCATAATTTTAATCCAGGGTTATCATTATTACCTATAAGTACCATGTTTTGAAGTATTTGCTTCTCACTTTGAAAATTGCTACTCACCTTATCATATATTTTTTTTAAATCACATTAAAAACTGTGGTTATTTATTATAGAACACTTGGAAAGTCCTGAAATAATCAAAGAAGAAAATAAAAATCATCCATAATTATATTACAGTGATATAACCATTTTACCTTTGGGGCATATCTACTCTTCTCTTGCTACCTCAGATTATTTTAAGAAAAATGTAATTGTATTGTAACTTTATTTTGTAATATTTAAACATTATATATTGTGAACAGTTAGTTCCTTTTGACACATTATCTTGAAACTTTGTACTTGAAAGAAATAATAAATTTTCTAGAAATATGAGAATGTATTTCTCTGAAAATATTTAGCTTACTAGTTCTCAAATAGGCTAATATTGCAGAATAATAATATTCACTAGAATTCTAATGTAGAAGGTAAATCTTGATAGAAGAATAATGGCTTCTAAAATTTGTTTTTTGTTGTTGTTGTTTTACTTGGAATATATGTATGTTCCTTATTCAGAAACTTTAAAAAAAAATTAATGTTCAGGGCATTGTCAAATTAGAGATATTGCTCTTAAGTGGTTGTGGCTAACTTAAAACTCAAAATTGCTAACCTTTTCTTTACATCTATATAAATAACTAAAAAAAATATAACTCTCATAGATCGCTCTCAATTTTTAAAAACACTTTTGTGGAAGTAAATGTGTATTTTTGAATTAATTCAGGAGTTTAATGGTACTAAGTATAAGCTGAAGTTATTTATTGATTTATGTTTATAGATTTGTCAAATCCAGGAACCTTCCGGGATCTTAGTAAGCCAGTGGGGGCCCTAAATAAGGAACGGCTGGAGAGGCTACTGGTACGTGGACTTAGAGATTCTTCATTTCTAAGCAAGATGAGAAGCCATGGCCTGTGTTTTTATTTCAGGAAGGAAATTCGTTTCTCCACGGTTTAGGGGAATTACACCAGTGACTCTACATAGTGTTTTCTTACTTTTCTCCTAACCATGAATTAACTGCTCACCATTTGCATTTCTTGTCTACAGTTTAGGAAGGAGGAGGGCGACCTGTTTACAGGTTCACTGAACTATTTTCATGAAGGCATTCTGTGGTACATTGCATAAGAGACATATAAAATCAGTTCTATTTAATCTACTGCCAACATTTTGTTACCATTAAGCCAGGGAAACCAAAATACTTGTCTCAGCAATGCTGTTTAGCCAAAGATTCTCTTTCCCTCTTATCTTCTCCTTTTCTTATCTAACAGACAAATTAAGGAATATGGTATATCTATGTTATGATTTGTTTTAGGCTTTTACTACTTGTCAGTTATTATTTCATAGCCAACACTTAGCACTATTTTTTTTTTTTTTTTTTTTTTTCTGTATTCTAGACACGCTACCAGGAAATGCCTGAACCAAAGTTCATGTATGGCAGTCACTACTCTTCCCCGGGTTATGTACTTTTTTATCTTGTTAGGATTGGTAAGATTCTTTATCATTACCCCCCAATTAAATTTTATTTTACTGTATTCTTCAATGGTTTTGTGATCTGACTTACCTGTTTTTTTCCCCTCTAGCACCAGAGTATATGCTGTGCCTACAGAATGGAAGGTTTGATAATGCAGATAGAATGTTCAACAGGTTTGATACAAATGACTTGCTTATCATTTTTAACACTTTCTGATTGTATATATACAACATACTTGTTTCAAAGCACTAGATAAAAAATTTAAAGAAATGTAAAAAATCAATAATTGTTCTATCTATTCCTCTCAGGCTTTTTCTAGACATGAATATGTGCGTGTAAATGTGAGAACATATTTTAAGTGCAGGTCTTTGTCCTGCCTTTTGTAACCTAATATTAAATCTTAAAGTTTTTCCCATATTATTAGATATTCTTCAAAACAGTGATTCTTTTTTAAAATTATTGTATCACATTCTAACACATGCGATGTTTTATTTCAACTTCTTTTCTCCATTGTTGGGCATTTAGATTGTTTCCCACACTTTATTATTCTTGATAATTTTGCTGTGAATTGAATATAGCTCCTTGTGTGTATTTAAATGGCTTTACTTTTTAAATTATAAAAGTAATATTTTCTTACCAAAAAAATCGGAAAATACGAAGAAGGAAATAAGTTTACTTGGTATCCCACCGCAATGAGATAATAGTTGTTGTTAATTTTTTGGTATGTCCTTTTCATCTTTTTTGAACTCTATACATATTTAATAATAATTCCTTTTGCAATGAGCATTCAGATAGTGAGGCTAATCTTTTTTTTTTTCTTTTTTTTTTGAGACAGAGTCTTGCTCTGTCGCCCAGGCTGGAGTGCAGTGGCGTGATCTTGGCTCACTGCAACCTCTGCCTCCCAGTTTCAAGCGATTCTCCTGCTTCAGTCTCCTGAGTAGCTGGGACTACAGGCGCATGCCACCATGCCCAGCTAATTTTTGTATTTTTAGTAGAGTTGAGGTTTCACCATGTTGGCCAGGATGGTCTTGATTTCCTGACCTCGTGATCCACCCACCTTGGCCTCCCAAAGTACTGAGATAACAGGTGTGAGCCACTGCGCCCGACCAGTGGTGCTAATCTTTCAGTGTGTAGGCACCCTCCTCCATTTGGCCCTTGGATGAGGCAATGTGTATACTAATGGTGTGGACTCGGACTCCATGCCCACTCCTGCTGTGTGACCCTAGAGAAGTTACATAAAACTCTGTGCGCCCCAGTGTTCCCTTCTGTTAAAGTGGGACACTCAGAGGGATGGTTAGAACTATGTGTGATTGACAAACAGAAGTTAATACAAGTAAAGTGTAGAACAACCCCCAGGGGCATAGGAAGTACTGCTATTGCTATTTGCATAGTTGAAAATAGGTGAAATTTTTTTTTTTATATGTAGTATTGCAGAAACTTGGAAAAACTGTCTGGATGGTGCAACGGATTTTAAAGAGGTAAGCAGTTAATGAAGCTGATGAGTAACTGGACTTGGGGTTTCTAACTGCTTTACAACATGTTTGTTCTTTTTTTTTTTCCCCCTGAAACTTTTAGTTAATTCCAGAATTCTATGGTGATGATGTGAGCTTTCTAGTCAATAGCCTGAAGTTGGATTTGGGAAAGAGACAAGGAGGACAGATGGTTGACGATGTGGAGCTTCCCCCTTGGGCCTCCAGTGAGTTCCCCCTTGGAGGTGTTGTATTATAGATACTCTTTACCAGGTAGTGCAATTTCAGTAATTATTTTATTGCTTAGATTTTTAAAAATCACAATGTAATTCTCCATCTAAATGAGGAGACATGAGTCCTATTCCATATCAGAAGCATTCTATGAGTCTATGATGTAAAAACATTAATATGTATTTGAGAGACTTTAATGTGAAAATGATTCTTGCCACTTTTTTCCCAAAAAACTTACATTTCATATGATAGAAAAAAAAACTGCATTAAGATATGTGGACCTCTTGCCTGTCCTAGAAACTTTATATACATATAGATAGACAAGAGAAATGGGAGGGGAAAAAATGAAGACTCCATGATTTTTCGATTGCGTCTAATCTAATAGGTCCCGAGGACTTTCTCCAGAAGAGCAAAGATGCATTGGAAAGCAATTATGTGTCTGAACACCTTCACGAGTGGATTGATCTAATATTTGGCTACAAACAAAAAGGGAGTGGTGCAGTTGGGGCCCATAATGGTATGTAATATTCATTGACATTTTATTTAGCATTGGGTGAATATTTAGCATTATTCATTTTCATTGGAAAATGAAAGCAAACAATACCAAAAAAAAAAATGAGGCCAAAGCAATTAGTCTTATTTCTTCAGTGGAAGCATGTTCTGTTAGAGCACAGTATCCACTGGCTCCGCGACCCTGGATCAGATGTTTTTTTTTGTTTGTTTTCTTTTTGAGATGGAGTCTTGCTCTGTCACCAGGCTAGAGTGCAGTGACACAATCTTGGCTCACTGCAACCTCCGACTCCCTGGTTCAAGCGATTCTCCTGCCTCAGCCTCCCAAGTAGCTGGGATTACAGGCACGTGCCGCCATGACCAGCTAATTTTTTTGTACTTTTTTTTTAGTCGAGACGAGGTTTCACCATGTTGGCCAGGTTGGTCTCGAACTCCTGACCTCAGATGATCCGCCCACCTTGGCCTCCCAAAGTGCTGGGATTACAGGCGCGAGCCACTGCACCCAGCCCCTGGATTAGATATTGAGTAACTGATGAGGAGGGAGGACTTTTGCCCAAATATCACCAACCTTATCCTGTCCCCAAGAGGTCTTTTTATAAAGTCTTCTAATTTTAGCATTTACTCTCCATCCCATTCAATAATTTCAATTAAAACTCTATTACAGTAAGATAGAACAGTGGCCTCAATTCCTATGGAAGACCCAAAGTTTCCTTTTTCTCTTTTTTTTCTTTTTTTTTAATTTTTTTGAGACAGAGTCTTGCTCTCTCACCCAGGCTGGAGTGCAGTGGCGCAGTCTTGGCTCACTGCAACCTCTGGCTCCTGGGTTCAAGCAGTCCTCCTGCCTCAGCCTCCTAAGTAGCTGCCAGAGTTGTTTTTTAATTTAACAGAAAGAAAACAGCAGCAGTGTACCTTCTCTTCAGTTTCAATGCTTGTCTTCTTCCATGTTTCTCGTGTGTGTTTTCTTTTTTTAATAAATGAACTAACATATAATCCATGTCTCCCATGTTCATAACAAGGAGCTGTAGTTGGAAATTCAGACCTAATTTTTTACATGGAAATTCAGTCTTATTAATTCTATAAGTCATCTTCTCAGGAGAAAATAATGCTGACTGAGATGACAGGTCCCCTACCTGACAACTAGATTTTTGTTCATCTGAAGATAATATTCAAGTTGGTATTTACTGCAGTTGGATATTAGTCTGTTTTGCAAAGTGAATAGCAACTTCTTTGAACATGAGTTTTAAGTTGTTACATTAAGTTCTAAACAGTGTATATTACATTGAAATAGCACATCTTTCAATGGTGTTTTGTATGTCTTTTTCAGTATTTCATCCCCTGACCTATGAAGGAGGTGTAGACTTGAACAGGTACTTGTATGTCAATAAGGAGTTTCTACTTGAGTTATAAGATATGTCTTTATCTAAATTATTAATATATTTATTTGAATGTTGAGGTATGGAAATTTTAAAATGAATTCTATCTTGCTTTCACTGTTGTGTTATTGAGCATCAGAAAATACTCTGAATGTCTGTAATGAGGTTTAGACAACCCTGGCACATAGTTGCTGTCATTATGTGAGGGTTGATCCCTCCTATTGATCAGTACTATTTGAAATGTGTGCTTTCAAGGGACTCAAACCTAGTGGTTCACTACATTCTTTGTGTTCTGTCCCAAAGCATCCAGGATCCTGATGAGAAGGTAGCCATGCTTACGCAAATCTTGGAATTTGGGCAAACACCAAAACAACTATTTGTGACACCACATCCTCGAAGGATCACCCCAAAGTTTAAAAGTTTGTCCCAGACCTCCAGTTATAATGCTTCTATGGCAGATTCCCCAGGTAAATTTTGTAAAGAGAATAAATGTGAGCACCTTTTGTTGCTCTTCTGTGATGAAGATGTTTCTGAAGAGGAGACAAGACATATACTGTTGTGCTACTTAGAGATGATTGTGTTCTCTTGCCTTATTGCAGTTCTCCTGAAAACAAATAATTTGCTGATGTTTGTTTTCAGCTATAGACTGTAAGGGAAATCAAATCGCTTTTATTTTCTGGCAATTGAATATGAGTGAAACTTGGCCGTGTATGTTTTGATGTGGTTCTCTTTCTCTTCTGTGGTTTTGAAGCTGGTGTTTGATCCTTAACTATTCACCTTTTCATTCTTACAGTCCTGGCTGTCCAGTCTGCCTTCCCAGTCACTGTCAGCCCTGCTGTCTTCCAGAAAAGACTTTCTCTGGCCCTAATTATGCTCTTCTACACCCACATACAGATCTTGAATTCAAAGTGTTGTCTCTTCTTCATTGAATTTCACTTATTTAACACTGACAAACCTTTACAATGTGTCTGTTCTGTAATGGGCATGTGCTAGGCACTAAATTGAACTTGACCCAGTTCTCACATCTAATATTTGGAAAGGTAGGAAAGAATGCTCACCTTTCTCCAGTTACCCAGGTTTTAGATTTTACATGAGACAACTTCAAACCTACAGGCTTCCAGAAGCAGGTTGACACTGTGGAACCTTGGGAGCAAAATCACTTTTTATCTCCAATCCTCCTGTCTGTTCCAAGCACATCCAGACATTTTAGGCATACAGAGCTGAGCATTCTCTCAAGCATGGAGAAATAGCTTCCTGGAGTTACATGACCCAGGGGTAGCTTCTTTAAGAGAGAATACTCTAGAGGGTTAAATAATAAAGATCACAGGATTATCTTGTGATGTTGTTTCAAACTGCGCTCTGCTTAGTCACCAGGCCATAACCACTGTCATGTGATAGTTTTAAGAGGGTAATTGTTTCAGCCCTTCCTAAAGCAGAAGTAAAAGGATTACTCCTGCCAGAAGCTCTTGCAGTAATTGATTTCATCTCTGCTTTCCCCACCCCAAACCAAAACAAAACTGTAGCATTCTTAGGCAACTGTCAGGTTTTTGAAAGAATGTTGACAAGGAAATGATGACTCAGTCTTGTATTTCCCCAAATTCATAAGTTAGAGGCCAAGTGAAAGCTTTGCAAACATTGATAAAAGTATAAAAAGACTCTAGTGTTATTCAAGGATATTTTTTATCGTTCTTTATACAGTTTTTTTCCTTGACTAACATGGAACCATCTAACAGGTACATTTCAAAGCAGTCATGTTGGGACAGGGTGCTTCGTTTCTTAGTTGTTCGATTTTAGTAGAAAATGTTGTGAATCTGATGCTGTTGTCTGTTGGTAACTTAGTTGACTTAGCGAAAATGTAATGTAGTCTCTCCAGGTGAAGAGTCTTTTGAAGACCTGACCGAAGAAAGCAAAACGCTGGCCTGGAATAACATCACCAAACTGCAGTTACACGAGCACTATAAAATCCACAAAGAGTAAGAATATCTCTGCTTCTTCTCAGCAGCTGATGGTCCTGGCGAAAGTTAGGGTCTTGGCATGGGCTTAAACTGTTTTAAGCTGAGTCAGAGGGAACATTCCCTTTCAATGTTGTCTTGATTTTGAAAAAATCTCCCCCAAATGTCTATAGCGATCTCCACCTGAGGTGGATGTAGTAGGAAAGTTTGGCACGAAATGATTTGTGGTGGCTACCGTGCTGTCATTTCTGCAGTCTGTCACTTCACAGTACAAGATATGGTCTGCGGTGTGGTGTCAGTTTTGTGCCTCTCAAATTGGGGTACACAGCTCCTTGCATCTGTGATGGGAGAAGTGTGATATATACCCCACAAGTGTTGAATTTACACATAATGTAGGCGAAAAGCTTCCTTTTAAAAATAATTAGCTCTCTCAGAGAGAGAACATTGCAAAGTTCACATGAATTTTAAAAACAATAATTATAACAATAATTATACTTCTAAGAAATTGGGCTTGCTGTTGGACCCAGAGATGACATGTGTGTTCTCTGCCCTCTGTCATTAAGACCTTCATGTTCTCTGGTAGAAAGGCTTGAGAACCACTGTCCTAGCCTGTTCATCCTGCTACAGAGAGGAAACCCAGGTCCAGAGACTAGGCCCCACCTTGCTGTATGACCGTAGACAGCCCCTCCGGTATATTGGTCATGGGTGGAGCTGGGCATGCTGCTCTGCATTAGATGGATGGCTTCATGTCACAATCCAGCCTCCCGAAGAGAAACAAGGAGTTTTGGCTGATTCATGATGACAATGGCTGTCTTTTCTCAACTTCTCTAAATGGCACATAGGAAGGGACCTTGTAATCCAAGATAGTGAAGACTGAATGATCCTTTAAGAGGACAGGCTGGAACCAATTTTCTTATCATTGAATAGTCACTGAGTAAATTAGCTTCAGTAATGAGCAAATGAAGTGACTATGAAGAAGAATTTGTCCCTTTGGTGATGGTCAAATGAGAGGGAATAGAAGGAGAAGAGTTTTCCAATTGCCAGAAATTGTCAGGAATATGTGAAGCATTGCATGTGGAACACAGGGAAGCAAAGAGTGGGGATGTTTTCTAGCCACAGGTGTTGCCAGAACATGAGAAGTTGCCAAGCAGTGATTTGGTAATGGCAGGCTTATGCTGGGACAGATCCGGCAGGCATACTGTGAAGAAAAACATTAAGGAAACTTGGTAAAAGTAACTCAAGGATGTGAAACAAAGCGGGTGTCCTAACACATGATGAGTAGTAATTTGTGAAACTTTGTTTTTGAGCAGAGCAGTTACTGGAATCACAGTCTCTCGCAATGGATCTTCAGTGTTCACAACATCCCAAGGTCAGTGTTTCTCCCTGAAAGGCGACTTCACCAGAATCCTAGAATGTCTGAGTTCTTTATTATGTAGCTCGCGGTCAAGGACTGTACTTGCATGTGCTGCCTCCACGTAAACTTAGAGCAGTTCCTTTGTGGTACATTGCATAGAGTTTCATCGTAATTTGCCAAAAATAATAATGAAACATCTATCTGTTGCTGATGAGGTTTCCCAGAGTTGAGGGTAAAGGACAGAAACAGCCTCCTTTCCACACCCTTGCTGGGTCAGGTCCTTCCCGCCTGCCATAAGAGGGTGCCCTGTCCACTTGTTGGGGTTGGCTGTGAGTCACAAGTGCTGTATCAGAAATCGGCGTGTGCCTCTCAGCACGCGGAGATGCAGATTTGCTGTTACGGTTTTCAGTTCTGTCATTCAGTGTGTATTTCTTCAGAATATTTGATGTAGCTCAAAATCACATTAATATATTATTTAATATGCTTATACATTATCAAAATTATAAAAACCCTTGCAGTGTGTCATTGATATGACTTATTATAGCTATATAGCAGAAAGCATCCCTTACTATATACACCATTGTTCTCTCCCTGGTAGTCTGCGTTATATATTATTTATTAAAGTATGTCTTGACCTTATCATGTTGAGAGCACTGTGTTGGCACTCTGGAAGATGCAGAGGTGAAAGGGTCGTATCTTTATTCCTGCTTCCGTGAGAAAACAACTCGTTCTGACAAAGTTTGTAACTTTTTAAAATAAGGCTACTCGTTCTTTAGTCTTTATCATAGGAAATTATATTTTTCATTCATTAAGACAAGGTGCTATCCAACCAAACACTTCCAGGAAAATCAGAATTACTACTCTCAGATTCTGTTATCATGGTTCATGATCTGTAGCATTTCATTCTGTTCTTTTTCAAATACTGTCTTGGATTGTATATAAAAAAAATTTTCCACAAAGCACAGAAGTGATTCTACACAGTAGACCAAACGGAAGTTCCCGTGCAGTTCCCAAACTGGGCCACGCAAGGGTCACCGAGGCACTTCTCTGATAGAAGGAAGCAATCTGTGTTTTGCCAGGATTTCTACCTGTGGAGTTTGCCAACATTATAGCCTCAGACAAAATGCTTTATCTTTAAGCAAAACCTGAGTTCTTAGCAGGATTTGTCTGGGATGGTTTGTTAAATCCTTCAGCTCAGTATACTTGTATGACCTTGTGAACCATGAATTTTATGAGCGTTGTGGCTTCAAACCTCTGAGGCTTATTAAGCATTATGTCACTTCTCTGTGGATTTTCCCAATAAAGGAGAGAGAGGTTTTTGTTTTTGTTTTTTGAGACAGAGTCTCACTCCGTCGCCCAGGCTGGAGGGCAATGGCGCGATCTTGGCTCACTGCAACCTCCACCTCCTGGGTTCAAGCGATTCTCCCCCCTCAGCCTCCCGAGTAGCTGGGATCACAGGCACCCACCATTGTGCCTGGCTAATTTTTGTATATTTGTAGAGATGGGGTTTTACCGTGTTGACCAGGTTGGTCTTGAACTCCTGACCTCAGGTAATCTGCCTGCCTTGGCCTCCCAACGTGCTGGGATTACAGGCGCCCGGCCAAGAGTTTAAAAATAAAGTCAAAAGCTTTTGTTTTTTTCTGTTTGTTTCTTCTCATATTTAGATTTTCATAATTCATATTGCTAATTTATATGTATCCTGATGGTCACCGCAAAGTTACATATCTTCTTCTAGTATACAGTATGTTTAGGTATGTGGGCAGGCACACAACCCGCCACTTATGAGCTTAGCTTTTACTGCAGTCTTTAACATGATCTCACCTCTAGTACAGGGGACCTTGATTTCAAGAAAAACATCTTTTCTTTCTTTTATTATTTTCTTTTTCCATTTTTTTGGTTCCCTGACCAAGAAATGAACCCAGGCTGCTGCAGTGAGAGCACCAAATCCTAACCACTAGACATCAAGGAGAGAAAAACATCTTTATGTAACGTAGGATGCCCCAAATTAATCATCTTAAATAGATTTTGTGGTGAATGCTCAGAATTGCCTAATCAAAAGCAAGGTTGGGAAGACTATCAGATCTAGTTACACTGCTCAGGGAAAAGTTCAAGTGATACTGTGTTCATTCTTCCATTTTCGGTTTCAAATTAATGCTGAAGAGTGTCTTATTGAGGCTCATGTTTATAAATTGTCAGGAATTCTGTGTGTTGGGGTTGCAAAAATTGGGTTGAATTAGTAAGTTGTTCTGTGCAGAAGAAATTATTTAAAGATCATTCCGACATCATGCTGTGTAAGTTAGAAAATAGATTGTTACATATCTCAAATATAGGATGTTCGAAGCGCACGCAGTAGGGTCTTGTAATTTGTGAGTCTTGGTTTAAGAGGTTGTTTTGAGGCCGGGCGCAGTTGCTCATACCTGTAATCCCAGCATTTTGGGAGGCTGAGGGGGGCAGATCACTTGAAGCCAGGAGTTCGAGACCAACCTGGCCAACATTGTGAAACCCAGTCTCTACTAAAAATACACAAATTAACCAGGCATGGTGCGCACTCCAAAAATCCCAGCTACTTGGGAGGCTGAGGCACAAGAATTGCTTGAATCTAGGAGACAGAAGTTGCAGTGAGCCAAGATCACACCAATGCACTCCAGCCTGGGCAACAGATTGATACTCTGTCTCAAAAACAAGAAAATTAAGTGCTTGGATTTTTAATTTCTACTTTGTTATTATTTAGAAAGTCAGTGGTTCCCTTCTATAACTAATGTTCAGTGCAAGGTATCACAGTGTAATTGGGCAATTTTTTTTAAGAAAACATATTGCCAAGATCTTTTTGTCTTATTTAGTATTAAAATTACTATTTCAATGTTACTATTAAAATTGCTATTTTCCTTCCTGTAACTTTCTGCATGTACCAGCTATGACATTTCTGCCTGGAATCATGCCGAAATGTCAACAGTATACCTACCATGTCTGTGCTGGAATTTTATTTTTTTATTTTTTATTTTTATTTTTATTTTTTATGTTTTGAGACAGAGTCTCACTCTGTCACCCAGGTTGGAGTGCAGTGACACGATCTCGGCTCACCGCAACCTCTGCCTCCTGAGTTCAAGCGGTTCTCCTGCCTCAGCCTCCCAAGTAGCTGGGACTACAGGCATGTGCCACCATGCCTGGCTAATTTTTGTATTTATAGTAGAGGTGGGGTTTCGCCATTTTGGCCAGGTTGGTCTCGAACTCCTGGCCTCAAGTGATCCTCTCACCTCAGCCTCCCAAAGTGCTGGGATTACAGGTGTGAGCCACCTTGCCCAGCTCTGGAATTTTAAATTGATGTTTTTGTCATGGGGTTACTGGTCATAGAATCTTAATGTTGGATAAGACCTTAGGTCATCTAGCTCTGTTTACATTCAGTTTTCCGTAAGATTATACTTTGGAGTATAAAGTGTACTGTTGGCCACCAGGAACAAGAAGAGCAGTTGTTCTTTGGCATCTGTAATGGTTAGGAAATCTTTCTTATCTGTCCACTTCTCATTATTAAATTAGATTCCACTTTGAAGATGTTTTCTAAAGAATCGAAAATGCTGCAAAGAAGCATATCATTTTCAAATATGGTGAGTTCATCTTACTAGTATTATGATAGAAATCCGTGTAGTAGTTTGTTTTATCCACACACATACAATGATACTTTATTTCTCCCAAAACAGTTGAGTTTATTCCTGTGTGGTAAATCTACCAAATACCTTAGATTACTTCTAATTTCAATTTAAAATTTTTTTCAGGTCGCCATTTTCTCATACGGTTGTGGTTTCATTTTTAGCTTAAAATACTTGGAGAGCTACCCAGTAGAATTCTACCTAATAAACCTTTCCTTTTTTTAGCTATCAGACTAAATGTTATGTGCTACTTAATTTATGCATCTCTGAGTTGGTAGAATATCTAATATGACAAAACCAATTCTTCTGAAAGAACACATTTTATTTTTAATGTAAATCATGCAAAAGTTCTGGAAATTCTCTAAAGAATTTTGGAAGGTTTTCTTACCCACACAAGTCTGTAGTCCAGAGGGGGTATTTTCTTTCTTGAGAATCTTCCCCAGCCCGCCCCCAACTGGAGATTTACTCCGGAGCGTGAGTGGGCTTCTTCCAGCCCGGGGCAGGACCCTGCAGAGTCATCAGCCTAGGTCATAAATACCCTTGACACATGTGGACATTCCTTCCTGCGTTTGGGAAAAAACCCCACAGCTGGAATTAGCCAGTTGAGAAAATCTGTGTAAATAGGAGGAGAGCCACCATAAAGAGAATTTGAGCATTAATTTTTGGGAGAACTTATAAGATAGCTTTACTGTGTTTGAGACTTACTAGTTGTTACAGATTGTTAATGTCAAATCATTTGTATTTCAGGCTTTATCGTCTTGTTTACTTTTACCAGGAGATGCCACTGTCATAACTTCTTCATGGGATAATAATGTGTATGTATCTGTGCACCCCGCTCTGTGATTCCACGTGCAGAATAGCTGCCTCTGTGGACGTGAGGTGTGAAAAGCCAGAAGCTTTCCCTGCCTGGATACAGCACTGTTTTCTAAAGGGAACAAATATTAGAGATGAGGACAGTATGGTTGGATTTGAATATGCTTACTTGAATTGAATAACTTCTACAATTGGAGTCTGTTTTTCTCTAAGTTTTAAATTGAGGTCAAAACACAAATGAGCCAGACATGGAAATTTCTAATTTTAAATTCAAATTTTGAATATTTTGATTTAGTAATTTGAGAACAAGCAATTTGTAATTCTAGTGAGCCTTAGTAAGTATAGAGTTAAAGAACGTAATGTTTCCTTAATATGTGTTTAAGAGCCTTAAAATTAAGCCAGACTACTGTTTTAATACTTCTCATTATCTTTTAGCTATTTTTATTCCATAGCATTTGGAAGACGCCAGGACACATTAATGGGACATGATGATGCTGTTAGTAAGATCTGTTGGCATGACAACAGGCTATATTCTGCATCGTGGGACTCTACAGTGAAGGTTAATATATAATTTTAAAAAATTGTTTAACTTGGTGTGCTATATGGCATATATATAATTTGTAGCTTAAAATGTTTGTACATTCAGATATAAGCCACTCAACTACCTATTGTTAATGTGTTCAGTCGCTTCACTCTTTTTCACAAAGCATGTGATATGTAAGGATATTGAATGTTATTGCCTGTGTTTAAAAAGTATATATAAACTATATCTATATTTATGTATTTACTTACATATATTATTTATATTTAAAATACAATATCTGTTAAATATTACATATATATTTTTCTTTATATAATAATATATATATTTCAAACATAGGCAGTAACAGTCAATATCCTTACATAGCACATACTTTGTGATATGTACATTCTTTTTATTTTTTATTTAAAAAAACACTTCTTTATTTTTTTTTTTAGAGACAGTGTCTTGCTGTTACTGAGGCTGGGGCTAGAGTGCAGTGGTGGGAATTATAGCCACTTCTTAATGGGAAGTTTATCATTATTTCTGTACTGTATATTCCATTGTGGGGTGAATGGTCTAGTGTTCATTCAATAGCAGAGTTAGAAGAAATGTATAGTAGCAGCCCCTTTCATCTGCCATGATCAGAACGGATTATAGTTAATTAGACAATGTCAAGTTAAAGTGGGGAATCATTAAAAGACACATTTTATTTAAACTTAAAATATCTGAGTTCACATTCATTCACCATTCTTTCGATGCAGGACTGTGTTCGGTTTTTTCTTTGGAATCTTACATAAACCACGCCAGCTTTCATTATTTTCAGTTTCTATTTTGTGTTGGTGTAAAAGAAAGCAAGAACCTAAAATTGTTAGAATTCCTCCAGGAGTTTTTCAGAAATTTTTCTTCCATTCTTGTAGATAAGTTTATTTGCCTGTCCCTATTTTTAGTTATTTTGGGGGTAACATCCTTTTTGGTCTTCTTGAAACATTAATAGTGTTCTCAAAACACTGTAACACTTCTACACTCCTATTTCCTTAGTTCACATACTAAAGTCACATGATTACAGCAGCTAGTGCAGGTGATAGAAACACACAGGCACAAACAAGGGACGGTAAGCAAGCACGTGCTGGTGGGGAAAAGTGCAGGCATAGGGAGGAGGAGCTGGAGCACTGTGCAGCTTAACTTTATTGGCAAGTCTGTTAAATGGAAATTGAGCAGAGGAGATTTTCTTGACTGCACTAGAAATGACTTTATGTTAGATGTTTGAAAATACCTTCTGCAATATGTTCCATCCTAGGTGTGGTCTGGTGTTCCTGCGGAGATGCCAGGCACCAAAAGACACCACTTTGACTTGCTGGCTGAGCTGGAACATGATGTCAGTGTGAGTACCAGCAACAAACTGCAGAAAACTGACCTTAAAAGTCTAGGAGTTGGGCTGGAAGAAGGTTTTTGGTTTTGTTGATGTTGTTTTGCTTTATTTGGTTAATGGAAGATTATAGGCTAAATCTCAGTTTGGTGTTGACTATTTAGGTTTCCAAGTCTACTTGGTTTTGTTTTTTCCTCCAATTTACTTCTTTGCACATTTCCCTGAGAATTAGCTACCATCCAACTAGAATTCTAAAATAATAGTTTCTGAGCAGGACGTTGAATATTTGGGTACCCTCAAACTCTTTAGGGCAACAAGATAGGGCCTATGATCCTTCATGTTTTCTGATCCAGACGGTGGAAGGGGACCATCTGTCCAGGAGACACCCATCCAACAGTGGGGGACAGTGACCAGCTGTCTGCGGTGGTCAAGTGCATGCAGCCTGTTGGCACTGTGCCAACAGGCACTCAGTTCTCACTTGCTCTGTTTTCTCCGGGTCACGCTGCTGCATCTTACGCTGTAATTGACAGTACTGCCTTTTCTCTAAGTTGTGAACTGATGCCTAATTTCCATGGTCTTCAGATTAGCTGAGTTTGAGAAATATTTAGTATGCAATTCATGATGATATGCAAGCATAGCCTCGAGAGATTCCCCCACTCCCACGAAACCCTCAAATAATCATGGACTGGCTGTGCTTCAGGCAGTTTGGTGCCTCACTATAATTTATTATTCATAGAGTTATCTTTCTGAGACTGTCAGTTTTAAGCTATTTTAAAACAGCATTACATTTACTCTAGCAATACTTCATTTTCGTTTTTTCTTGTATTCACTAGCTTATAAAGAATTTAATTTCATTTTTTAAATGTTATTAATCAGTAGGATGATGCTGAAATATATCTGCATTAGCAACATCAGCACACTGCACAATAGAGTTTAATTTATATCATGATGACTACATATTTGAATCAGACTAGAGAAACATAGCTAATGACCACAAATCTAAATGGAATATGTATCAATGTGTTTTCTTCCTTAGGTAGATACAATCAGTTTAAATCCTGCAAGCACACTGTTAGTTTCCGGCACCAAAGAAGGCACAGTGAATATTTGGGACCTCACAACGGCCACCTTAATGCACCAGATTCCATGCCATTCAGGGATTGTATGTGACACTGCTTTTAGCCCAGGTAGATATTATCCTTTTTAAAACAGATAATACTAGGTAAATTGGAATGTTGACATAAACAATATTGTTACTTTTGAAATAAACAATTAAAATTTACAAAGAAAAACACTATCTGCTGGTAAAAGAGGTTTTGCCAATAGCTAACACTGCTTTATGCCAGGGTACAGTACACTTGTGGCATCTGCATCAGGTAGAAAAGCAGAATTGGATATTTTTAATTCCTCAACTCATTAGAGAAATTAATTTATAAGATAACAATGAACTCATTGAGATAAAGGGTCATCTCATCCCTGCGTCTTGGAAAGAGCTGGAACCATTTCAAGGAGAGGATAGTCATTGCTTAAATACAAGGGTTTTGAAGAAAATGAATGTGGAGATTAGGCCACTGGACTCAGAAATAATATCCAGAATAATCTAAACCACATTCTGAAGCTGTCACTCATGTCTGAGTCTCACCTTGTGTTGCAGATAGCCGCCACGTCCTCAGCACAGGAGCAGATGGCTGTCTTAATGTCATTGATGTGCAGACAGGAATGCTCATCTCCTCCATGACATCAGATGAGCCCCAGAGGTATAGTTTGTGAGTTACCGGGGGCGAAGACATTTACAGACACGTTCATGATCACTTCATTTGGGCTTACAATGGCCAGTTTAATATAGTCCTTCTTTCATGATGAAGAAAGGACTATTTCTGAATCATTCTTGCAGGTGTTTTGTCTGGGATGGAAATTCCGTTTTATCTGGAAGTCAGTCTGGTGAACTGCTTGTTTGGGACCTTCTTGGAGCAAAAATCAGTGAGAGAATACAGGGCCACACAGGTAAGCAGCTACTGCGGTTGTCTTGATCTTTTTTCTCAAGATAATGAACTCAAGCCTGCCTTTTCCATCAGGGAACACAATTCTTGGGCAAAAAACACCCATGGTTTTCCGTGCTATAAACATGTCCCTGGAGCCTCTTGATTGGCCAGGTGATCTGCATCTCGAAGGTTACTCAGGATTTAGATTTATGTTAACAGGCAGCAGACTCCAAAAAGGAAGTCTTTAACTTTCGTATGGAGAATTAAAAACCACTGTAAAGCTATAATTTTTTAAAAGATAATAGTATGATCTTAAATTTTTAGAATAGTAAAAAAAAAAGGAAAAAAAAAAAAAAGAAACCCGCCAGGTGCGGTGGCTCAAGCCTGTAATCCCAGCACTTTGGGAGGCCGAGACGGGCAGATCACGAGGTCAGGAGATCGAGACCATCCTGGCTAACCCGGTGAAACCCCGTCTCTACTAAAAAATAACAAAAAATTAGCTGGGCGAGGTGGCGGGCGCCTGTAGTCCCAGCACTCGGGAGGCTGAGGCAGGAGAATGGCATAAACCCGGGAGGCGGAGCTTGCAGTGAGCTGAGATCCGGCCACTGCACTCCAGCCTGGGCGACAAAGCGAGACTCCGTCTCAAAAAAAAAAAAAAGAAGAAACCCAGAAACAATACAAAAGGAACTACGATGAAAATTAAGGCTTCTTTCTACCGCTGACTTCTACCTCCCAGTCCTCCTTACAGTACTTTATCAGTGTGTGTCCTGTGAATAAGAGAGGGTATATGTGTATAAAATTGTTTATGTGAAGTATAATATTAAACTTTTCTGGCCTTTTTTTTCATTTAGTAATATTTCTTGGAGATTCACTCGATTGCTTACAAATTCTTGCTTTCTGATCATTTGGAGGACTTGGTTTTTAATTCTTTTAGTGTCTCCTGTTACCCCTTGACTTCCCACTGTAAGCAGTAACTTCCTACCTTCATTCTCTTCCCTGTGTCACAACTTCATATGGTTATTTCTTCTTAAATGTACACCTTAAAAATTCTGGGGCAGGCTCAGTGGCTCAGGCCTGTAATGCCAGCACTTTGGGAAGCCAAGGTGGGAAGACTGCTTGAGGTCAAGAGTTTGAGACCAACCTTGGCAACATAGCAAAACCTCATCTCTACTACAAATCAGAAATATTAGACAAGTGTGGTAGCACATGCCTGTGGTCCCAGCTACTTAAGAGGCTAAGACGGGAGGATAGCTTGAGCCCAGGAGGTAGAGGCTGCAGTGAGCTTGATCATGCCACTGTACTCCAGCCTGGGTAAGAACAAAAGCGAGACTGTTTCAAAAAAATGAAATTATTTGTGACTTTAGTTCTCTACTTAGAAACTTTAATGTCATTTGACCCCTTCCAGTGGAAAAGGAAATAAACCAATAACCTTACACCAATTCCCTACCTTTTCCTTCACATCTGTCTCCTAACTTTTCTCATGTTGTACCTGTATTATACTTTGCCAAGGTATTTATTTGCATTCTGTGCTATATCCATAATTTCCAGTTGTTTTGGCTTTAGATTTACACTTAAATGGTTTATTATTCCTCACGAGATCTTTGTACCAAGCAATTATTTTTAATTTATTCAAGGGTTTTATTATAGGAAGAAGACAAGAAAAAAATAGAACTTACTTCACTTGTTTAATAAATGAATAATAGCAAAGCAAGAGTAAGCACCAGAGTAAAGTTTATCTTTGGGTGCCTCCTGGTCAACTTCCTACCTAACCAAAACGTCTCTTTCTCTCAGGTGCTGTGACATGTATATGGATGAATGAACAGTGTAGCAGTATCATCACAGGCGGGGAAGACAGACAAATTATTTTCTGGAAATTGCAGTATTAAGTGCCTTTTCCTCTCCTGAATATTAAATTGAACTCTCTTTAATGCATTTGTAAACCAAACTTTTAAACGGACTGGTGAATGTGCAATGCTAGTAATTAGAAGTTTTACCACATGGAAAATTTGTGGTTTTAAACTTTCTAAATCATGGTGACTTTGTTGAAAGCCATTAGTTGCCATTCTCTTAAGGCAGATAAAATGTGGCAGTGCTAGGGAAAACATGTTACATTGTAAGGCAGATGATCATCCCTGTATGATGATTGTCAGAAGACAGGACTGGGTAGCAGAGAACAGCTAAGAGATAAATTGGGCTAGGGAAACTTGTCAGAAAGCACTGAACAATTAAGAATTTTCCAAGAAAATGTGCAGTATTCTCTGCTACTTCTGAATCTGTTTTGTCTTCCTAATCTATCACAATTGCTACCCATCGGGTTTTGGGTGTATGTTTTCATAGAGTGGTTACTTTCTATAATGCTGTACCCAGATTCTAAGAACCTGGAGGATTAGCAGTTCTTATAACAGTAAGTTTACTGTGTATAGGAACGGTTTGTATTTCATTATAGCTATTCATCTTTTCTACATTAAAAATATTTTTCTCTAAAGAAAACTGTTTTCATTTTATTTAAGTAACTTAAGACTAGTGTTTTTAAGACCATAGATCTAGAATCATCTTCTAGAAAACCATATTTAGTGATATGAATGTAATTCCATTACTTTTGAAATTATCTTCAGACTCAGGTAGATAATCCAGTATTTTTTTCGCTTCTAAATTTCAAACAAGGTAAGCTGTATAGCAGTAGCAGATTTTTATATTCAACCTCTGAACCATGGTTAATTGTGCGACTTATTGTTTCTGTACTCTTTAAAAACACTGTTGTATCTTACAAGTAGTATGATATAGGAGAAAAAACTTGAGTCAGACCACACTAATAGAATTTTCAAAGTCAGTTTCAAGTGTTATTAAGTATTATCTGGTCTCAGGTATTGCTAAGGACAGTCAGTAGCCTCAATGAGTTCCTGCTGCATGGCAGGGGTGAACCAGCTCTCTTGGCCCTGGTAATCTAGGGTTCCCAGCTGGAAGCAATTTTCCTGACACTCAGTCTTAGCACTGTGAGCTGTTCTTAGGGCCCCTGAATGTCAGCTTGTTCTGGGAAATGATGTCTCCCATAGCTGAAAGTGAATTTCACCTGCCTATCTTCTAGATCATGCATAAGTTTGGTGAAAGCAAATGATGCAGTAACCGACAGACTAAAATGTAACTTTATGTATACATATTTAATTAGAATAGACATAAACCAAAAAGAAGAAAAAAGTCAGGATAAAATGTCACTATCATTTTGTTTGCAAGGAGTCAGGAAATGGAACAAGTTACCAGAAAAATATTCTAAGACCATCCCAAAGTAGCTAGGTTACATAATCTTAAGAGTCAAATGCCAAAATTAAGTATTATACCACTTAATCCACAAATGAACAAAAGAGGAGTCAAAAGTTTATCCTGTTTAGTGTAATAACTTTTACATTAAATATATAGTGATTCACTTCTCACAAAGTGGTACTGGCAACTTTTAGAAGAAAGAAGTTTCCATTATGCATTGACTAAAAAATCTCAAAAACAACTAAGCAGCTATGCTATAGCTCAGTAAGTACCATTAAACTGTTCTGGGCTAGTGTACATTTCAGGTTAATAGAGAACTACATTTTGGGTTTTAGAAAGGCAGCAATAATTATATTTTGGCTTTTAGTCTAGATGCTTAACATAGTTAAGGCGACAGTTTAAGCATATTAAATGAAGGTAGTTAAAATTTAAGAATCATCACAATCTCTTGCAACCTACATACACTGTTTAATGCTTACATGGAATGAAACCAGTGTTCTTAATTGGCATTTTACACACACACAGAATTTTTTTAAAAAATCAAAGGCAGTCATTCTAAATGTACTATGGTAGCATGTTAAAAATGCAAATATGCTATAGAACTAAAGTAATATGAACAGCACTACTCATTACCTAGGAGAAAGGTGACTGGTTTTCACACAAAGCTAAGCCTGTATCAGTCATCCTAATCACAATGGCTTATAAAAGCATCAGGTTTCCAGTAGAGAAACTATTCTAGGAAAGTTAGTAAATCTCTTGAAAGTTTCACATCTGTAAAACCAGGATAAGGCTACAACTATTTTGAAATCTGAACAAGGTATCAGATAAAAATAGTAAGATTCCCAGCCATAATGTAAGATAGAAAGGTCCTCATGCAGCATATGCTCGCTGGCTCCGGGAAAGCTTCATGTGCATAATACAGAAGTTGCCAAAGAAGGAAACTGGAGACGTTCAGCTACATTTCCATGGTGCCGTGAATTTTAAACCTCAGGAATGGTGTGGTCCATTAGGCTTTTCATGATGCTTGGTGCCATCCTACAAGAGAGGTGCTTTTATTATATACTGAGATTCTGTTCCCCCCCCCCGAAAATGCTATGTTAATCCAAGAAAATTCCCAATTCCAATTTAGCACCTGTTAGCATCAAATGTGAATGGAGAGAAGGGAAAGATCTTTTAAATGAGTCCAGAAGCATCTCTGGTAATCTAGTTGTTGACAGACCCTCAGTGGGAAAGGCTATCTGTATTTGGCTAGAGAAGTTAGGATACAAATGAATTCTTGTACATTAAACCTGGTGATTTTTTTTTTTTTTTTTTTTTTTTGAGGCGGAGTCTGGCTCTCTTGCCCAGGCTGGAGTGCAGTGGCCGGATCTCAGCTCACTGCAAGCTCCGCCTCCTGGGTTCACGCCATTCTCCTGCCTCAGCCTCCCGAGTAGCTGGGACTACAGGCGCCCGCCACCTCGCTCGGCTAGTTTTTGGTATTTTTTAGTAGAGACGGGGTTTCACTGTGTTAGCCAGGATGGTCTCGATCTCCTGACCCTCGTGATCCGCCCGTCTCGGCCTCCCAAAGTGCTGGGATTAGAGGCTTGAGCCACCACGCCCGGCCAAACCTGGTGATTTTTAAAAAACAGAAAATGACAAGGCTGTGATGAGTTGGGGTAGAGGGATCCATCAGTGATTTAAGAAAAGAGAACCTTAGAACAATTAGTCATGACAATAACTCCTTTTTACCCCCTCGAAGCGTAGGGAGGTGCATTCTATCCAGAAGCCAACATAAAAATTTCATTACAATGGTTATGTTTATGAATCTTTTAAATCTCATTTTCACATGCATGATAGAGGTTCTGAAAGAAGGATTCCAAGCTGGCTTGACAAAAACAGCTATGGTAGATGCTAGGATACGAAAAGCTGTATAGAAGTAACCTTGTTGACTCTTTTCATTTCTGATCACTTGGCTTTCTAATCCTCAGTTCCTGAGCACAGATAGCACCAACACACCACACATGTCTATCTGCTTCCTGAGATTCTGGAGAGAAGGGAAACTTACTCCTAGCATTCCACCAGCAAGAATTCTCCATTACGAACCACTACAACTATATTTATACTGAGCAGAGGAGTGGTAGGCAGTACAACTGCAGTCAATTGTACTGCAAATTGAAAGCTAAAAGCATGCCCACTTTTCTTTGCATTCTTTTCTTCTACTAGGCAATATCAAAACTGAGGAAAGTATATGTGGATTTTATTCCATACTTGGGAAGTTGTAAGAGCTCATCCTTACCAACCCCGCTGACTTAAATAACTTACTTCAAATTTCTAGATAAACACCAGTATTCATTCCTTAGGTAAAAGACCCAAAGGGCTGAGAATTAAACTATAGTGCTTACATTAAGTCACACGACCATATGCATTAAGTTGAGGAATTGTTTACTTACCGCTTAATAATATGTTCAAAGATAAAAGCAGGCATGATTGTAATAGTAACTACAGTCCCAGATGTTGATAGTATGTCTGCAATTTGAGAGTCCTGATAAAAACACATATTAAAAATCAATTCCACAGAGGCTTTATTTAATAAATACAAAATTATGCCAGTCTTGGTAAAGAAATACAAAATATATGTCCTGTTATGTTTTGTTAAGATCTCTCAAATCCTGCTTGGTATTTCTAATTTTTTTCTAGTATTTCTTACCAAGTTTAATTGTACACTATTTTACAGCTAGTAACCAGTTTGCTTAAGTAAACTGAGTTGAATATTTTAGTCAAAAAAAACCCTTTTCCTTTCTGAATATTAAATAATTTTCCCCATATACAATACTACCATCTCCTCTTAGTTAACTGTGTATTCTAAATCAAAGTCTACGAAATGAGGAGGTCATGCTTAAAACTTTTTGACCTTAAGACCGACTTATTTAGGAATTTGTGGAGGAGAAAAACTATAAAAATAAAGTATTAATATGAACCAAAACTATTATTCATTTCCTTGTATTCCTGGATTGAGAAATGTTGGGCAACTATTCATTTAGAATGTCATAAAAACCTTTGTTGCCCATATTTCCACAGAATTCTAGTGTGAGTTACTTCTGAAATCATTGATTCCACCCCCCTTGTTATAGGAACTGTAGTTCTAGATAACAGCCCAAATAATGCCCGTGACTGGCTAGAGCAAGAACCCAGGCCCCACGTTCCCCATCTCCCACCTAAGTCACTGAAAACAGCACCACCTAAATATAGTCAAAAGACAGACATTTTCTAAAACTGCAGCAGAACATGGCACAAAGTCTGTTCCTTACCTTCAATCCAATGACATTCTGTCCATTGATTTCACAGATGTTATGTTCTGTGAGAAGACCATTTCTGGCTGCAGAGCTATCTTTCACTATGGATGTTATTTTTCCATTTTTAAAGATAAAACCAACATGTCCAGTGCTATCCTTATGCATGGTAATCGTCCGTTCAAAGGGCCTACAAACATAATGGGTTATATTAAAAACTTAATTCTAAGGTAAACATTTTAATGGATTTCATATACCATAAATGTTGCCATATTGGATACTTTTATAATAAACACTGTTTCTAATAAGAGCAACTTACAGCTCTGATTTTATACATTCACAGAACATCTTTGTGTAAAAGTTTTTTTTAAGTTTATTCATTATGGTTTGATTGATTTACTAATCAACATTTCCTTCTTTAAGTATCAAAGACAACTGCTTTATATGGTTTTATCAATGTTTTTCCTTTATAATTAATCAGACTTTACAGCATTAAGAATAAGATAAGCTTTTTAACTAAATCACAGTGGTAAAAATAATTTTTATTTTTTATTAACTTTTGGTATTTTCTACAGCCAAATCATATTTAGGAACTATTTCTTTTGTTTAAAACCTCTAAAATATTTCTCACAACTTGACTTCGAAAATTTTATACACTGCTATATTTGAAAAGAAAAACTAGAGCAGCAGTAAGACGTTAGGTTCCTCAAGCCCCTTTGGAAAGGAAGGCATGCAGCTATTATTAAAAGGCATCCAGCTGTCCCTCTAAAGTTGTTACACCAGTTACGTTTGCTTGATTCTCTATAAACTCTGTTATCATGTTATCATAAGGGTTTTATGATAAACTTGTGTTTACAATATTAAATTCAGAAGAGGCATTTCTTCCTGTTAGTACAACTTACTCTTTGAAACTCTGCTTACAGTAAAAAGGACATTCATCTGAAACATTTACTAAATACCTAA